TAGAGGGGTTTGTTAAGAACTAGAATAGCATAGAAGTCATTTGACTAGAATCCAAATTTTAGGCATCAGGAAAAGGGGACTCCGAGAAAGGGCTTTTCCAGGGTCATGTTGCTCAGTTGTGTCAGTCTTAGGCCACTAGCCCAGTTCTCAGAATTACTACTTGGTTGCTTTATGGCCTGAAAATCCAGTGACTTTCCGTGGAACACTGGTGTTTTCATAATTAGATTCAGGCTGTTCTACCACTAATACTGAAAAAGATGATTTCAAAACTTGATGGAAAAATTAGCTAACGGGAAGATAGGGGTTTTTTTTTTTTTTATATATATATATATATATATATATATATATATATATATATATATATATATATTAGGGTTTTGTGCTTGCTACCACTTACTGGCTATAGACTGCTGATGACAGAATAAATATTGAAAAAAAACACGAATTAATAACCAGATCAAACTTAACAGGTTTTATTTCTTTTAAAGATCCATATGGTTACTCTTGTGATTTTTTTTTTTTTATATTGCATACATGTTGGTAGTCATATGTTTTGTTTTGCATTCAGAAACATTTAGTCAAAGTGTAGGATAAAGTAGGCAATTGTGCTTGGTTTGGGGGCTATGAAGAATAAGATTTCATCCCTCTTGGTCTCTGGTTAAGTTTAGAAATGGGAGCACAAGAGGATTGGCAGTAGTCAGTTCTCCCTAGGTGAGAGAGGCAGGAAAGACTTCACAGGGTAGGTGACATTTGAACTGACTTCTGAAGATGAACAGGTTTTCCATACATAAAAAATGAGACCAAAGTAAGTTCATTATGGAAATGTAAAAGGCCATTTTAATTAGAACTTTGTAAAGAAAGGAGAAAGGGGTGAAAAGGCCTGGCATGTTCAAATATTAGCAGCCATGATTCAGTATGGTTTCAGTATGGCTAGAGAGGGTTATGTGAATGGGGCCATGCCGGAACACTGTGTTAGGCATCAAGGACCCAATCAAGAATGATCTTTGTTTTAACAGGAAGTTTGAACTTCATTCTTTAGGCAGTGGGGGAGCCATTAAAATTCTTAAGCGAGAAAGTTACAGAATGACTGGTGCTATAGATTTCTTATTTTTATAAGAAAACTTAAAGATAAATTAGGGTGTCGTCAGTTTGGAGGTAGGGAAACAAATTAGAAGATTAATTCAGTAATCCCAGCAAGAACTGAAGGCCTGAAATAACTAGAGCTGTGGTAATAAAGATGGACAGTAACAAGTATCTGAAGAAACTTGGTGACAGATTGAGAAGGAGAATCTATATTGAGCTCCTAGTTTGTGACTCATGTGACTGGGTAGATGATGGGTAAGATTACCCTTGATGGGGAACAGTGGGGGAAATCCATTTAGGAAGAACAGTGGTGAGTTCCATGGAGATAGATGGATATAAGAACCTGTTGGACATCCAGTAGGCTATTGGATGCATGGTTGTGCCGATAAGGATTTGGAAATCATCCGTATGTAATTAACACCACTGGAGTGATGAGGTTGCCCAGAGAACATTTAGAGCAAGGATTCTTAACCTCTGGAATCCAAATATTCGCCATTATCCAAATTAGTATATATGTGACTTTTGTTAGGGGAAGGTCCATAGCTTTCTTCAGATTCTCAAAAGCGATAAATACTTGCTTGGTGTGGAAAGGGGCCTAGGACAGAGCCCCAAGTATCTTCATTAAGTGATGGGCAGTGATAGTGAGTAGTCTCAGCAAAGAAGGGAGTAAAGGAACAGTAGTGAAGAGAGAAATGTGATGTCAAAGCCCAAGTCAAGTAACACGTAGACTGAAGAGTCATTGGCTTGGCAATTAGAAAACTTGTAAATTGTTTCTAATAAACAAGATGGAATCAGATGTATTTGTATGTAATGAAGCTTCCCACAGAACCCCCATGGCTTTCTAAGAATTATAAAAACCATTGGCCTACAAAAAAGTTCAAATGCCTCTGTCGAGTGTTCAGGGCTAAAATTTGCTCTTGCCTTGCTGTTACAGTTTAACGTCTCGCTTCAGTATTCTGAACTAGCCAAAGCGATCTCTTCACTGTTTTCTGGATACTTCATACAAATCTTAGCCCCACGCTTTTGCTGGTGTTTTTCATCCTGCCTGCCCTATTCCCCCCCAACAAATCCTAGCAGTCTTTCACAGTTTAGTTTGTTCTGCTATCTCTGTGCTCCTTTCTGACTATATTGATTTCCTCCTTTATATCAGTGGTAATTACTGTCTTGTTTTGTCATTTAAAATTGTACCGCCTTGCATTGCTACTTACTTTATATGTTATTGCCGCCTTTTCCCGGTGAGAGTTTACTCCTGAAGACTAGCAGTACCTTACATCTCATCACACCCCCTAGTGGCTTGAGCTTTCACGTACTTATTTTAAATACTAAAATATTTGAATGAATTTAACCTAAGCCAAATATAGTGGGAGAAAATGTGTTTAAGAAAAAATTCTTATGATGCATTCTAAATGATACAGGAGTGATTGACAGGTCATTTTACAGCCGTACTCCATTTCTATGGGTAATCAAGAGTTGATTGCGTATCAGAATAAAATACTGATATATGTGAGGCTTCTGGGCTTTTCTTTGGAATTTTTAATGAATTAATTAAATTTGTTAGGCCAAACTAATTTTTCTGTGTAAAATTACTAATTTTTCAAGATGGAAATATCTTTTTTTTGGATTTAAAGTAAAATGCACTTACTAAAATAAGTCTACAAGTAGAAATAAAATATTACTAGTATTTCTATACTGTTTTGCCAAAGGCACTCACATTTTATAAACATCTTTACCATCCGTAAATTAAGTAGGTACTGATGGGGTTAACATACAAAACTTATTGACTAACAATGCAGCTGGCTCATTACTAAACAATATGATATATTACTTTGGAACCTGACTTCAGTGTCATGGTGTTGCTGGTTTTGCTGAATGATAATTTAGCTTAATCCGATTTGAAGCCAGTGTTTGTCTTTCTTCCATTATTTGCTGAAAACTTTTGGCATAATCCAGGGTTATGATAGGAAAACTGTAGCAAAAAAAAAAAAAAAAAAAGGCCAGAGTTGCATTGCTTTATTCCAGAGTCAGAAAAATTAAAAACTTTCTTAGTTAAGAAGTAGAATAAATACGTTAGATACTCCTATGTGGGTCACATTGTTGTTGAGCAGATATCTACTAACATAAATCCTAAATTGTAGTAGTTACCTGACAGGAGTCTGTGTAACGCTTAGTAATCCAGTTTGACTAACATTTCAATGTGTTTAAGCTTTTCCTTTTTGTCCCTGAAATCAGAATATGTATTTTCAAAAGAGTACAGTTTTTGTGCATATCCTCACACCTTAATTTAACCACATTTTTTAAACCGGTAAAGCATATTTTGACCATTTTCACAAAGAAGGAAAGTTCCTTTAATTCCCAAGCAGTATTGCTTATTGAGTAGAATATACGAAAACATTGAGACAGATCAGTGGGAAGAAGATAAACTAACTCAATGGCTGAGTGACTTGCTTCAGCAAAGCTGCCTGGGGGCTCCTTCACCCCAGTTTGTGGCTCAGCAGCATTTCCTAAACGTTCCAGGTTATTTGGCATGAATAAATTATGAATAGTAAAAACAAGTGTTATATGTATCCTTTATAATAAAAACTTAATAAAAATGAAATTTTTTAATAAAAATTAAAAGGAAAAAGCAGGTGTATCCCAATTAAGTTTTTAATCCACATCCATGATTTAAAATAACTAAAAACTGTAGAATATACAGTTTAATCCCTTTCATATTTTAGAATGTGGATATATGTGAGTTATTCTGGCGGACAAAGAAAAAATTGAAGGACTTTGGAATTTTATTATACACACTTAACTACCTTTTTTAAGAGAAACTTAACATGGCATTCCCTGATTTTAAGGGAGGAGAACCTAGTCAAGTCTCTGGGGTGGGAAGGCAAAATTCTAGGGACCAACAGCAATGTGGGAGCTAAATCAAAATGTTTGATCTTTGATGGGTTGAGTGCCTGCTACCTTCTCCATTCACGGGTGAGTCTAAATAAGGTAAGAATTCTCTGGATTCATGATGTCCAGTAAAAGAATATAAGCTACATAAATATAACTTTAAATTTTTAGTAATCACATTAAACAAGTGAAATGAAACAGGTGAGACTGCTTTCAGTAATATATTAATTGGGGGCTTCTGGTTGGCTCAGTCGGTAGAGTGTGTGACTGTTGATCTTGGGGTTGTGAGTTTGAGCCTCATGCTGGGCACAGAGTTGTTTAAACGATTCAATCTTTTAAAAAAAATAATGTATTTAATCCAGTAAAAACAATATTTTTCAGTATGTAATCAGTATTTTTCAGATGTTAAGAAGTATTCTAGTTTTTTGTGTGTTTAGTGTTTGTAATTCAGTGTGTATTGCATTTAAAGCACACCTCAATTTGGGCTAATCACATTTCAGGTGCATGATAGCTGCATGCTGTTAGGAATGACTGTATTGGACATTGTCTCTCTAGAACATCTAAGGGATGTGTGCCCGTGATATTGAGAAATAGAACTTGCCTTATATCCAATGTAAAATATTAAAATTCCCTACCTTAGAGGATGCCTCCATCTGTGCTGGCCAGGTGAAGCACTAACGTAGGTCATAAATTGTTAGTTTTGAGAACACCTGTTTCCAGGATCGAGATAAATAAGAAATACGACTTTAACAATGACTGGCAACATATTTGTGAATTTCAGTACTCTTATCTTCATATGCAGTTCTTTCACCTGTGCTTTCAAACATACGATGCCACAACTAAATTCTGTGCATAATTTATGTAATATAAAGAAAAATGTTTTACATTTTGTATTTCATCCACTAGAAACCTCTGACTCTATATTCTGAGCTTTATTAAGAAGAATGATAACGGCTACCTTACTCTTTAAGATACTAAATTATTTTAAGTAATTAGGACTTTCATCTGATTTCAATTTTCTTTTATATTTTAAGGATATGGAATATTATCTTGTAAAATGGAAAGGATGGCCAGATTCTACAAATACTTGGGAACCTTTGCAAAATCTCAAGTGCCCATTACTACTTCAGCAGTTCTCTAATGACAAGCATAATTATTTATCTCAGGTAAACAAAGGCAAAGCAATATCTCTAAAAGACAATAACAAAGCTTTGAAACCTGCCATTGCTGAGTACATTGTAAAGAAGGCTAAACAAAGGATAGCTCTGCAGAAATGGCAAGATGAACTCAACAGAAGAAAGAATCATAAAGGAATGATTTTTGTTGAAAATACTGTTGACTTAGAGGGCCCACCTTCAGACTTCTACTACATTAATGAATACAAACCAGCTCCTGGAATCAGCTTAGTCAATGAAGCTACCTTTGGTTGTTCATGTACAGATTGCTTCTTTGAGAAATGTTGTCCTGCTGAAGCTGGAGTTCTTTTGGCTTATAATAAAAACCAGCAAATTAAAATCCCACCTGGTACCCCCATTTATGAATGCAACTCAAGGTGTCAATGTGGACCTGATTGTCCCAATAGGATTGTACAAAAAGGCACCCAGTATTCACTTTGCATCTTTCGAACTAGCAATGGTTGTGGCTGGGGTGTAAAAACCCTTGTGAAGATTAAAAGGATGAGTTTTGTCATGGAATATGTTGGAGAGGTATGTTCACCTTATACCAAACAATGGAAGGTTTATGCTTTTTTTTTTTTTTTTTACATCAGTAACAAATATTGGTACATTTTTATATTACCATTTGCAAGTATGTAAAAATTTCAGGTTTGAGAGAAGGGTTCACTGGCATAGTTAGAAATACAAACTTGTATATGAACAAAAAAAAAAAATATATATATATATATATATATATATAATGACAAAATTGTCTTTTTTCAGAACCATCCATTAATAGTCATTGAAACTGGAATTTGTAAAATATGACAATTTTACATAAAAGCCCTAAGAAGAAAATCAGATCTAAACATCTGCTGACTTTGAAAACTTTAGATAATTCATCCACTTGACTAAATATGGTTAAGTGTAGTTGGCAAAACTAAACATTATATCAACGTGAGAGATACTGTAGACAAATGCTCTCTGAGCAAGTGTTGTAAAATAAACTTAAAAGCATTTATTGCATCCACCAGAAAATCCAAATTCTTTGTAGCTCAACAAGAGACTCTTCTCTAAATTGCCAAAGACTGAACTGATATTCTTGTATGTATAATGTAAATTTAGAAAAAATAGTATTTGTATGTACCACATACTATTTTGAGCACCTTATGTTTTAACTCGTTAATCCTTTCAATAACTGGGAGGTAGTACTGTTATCTCCATTATTATAGATGAGGAAACAGGCACAGAGAAGTTGAGCAACTTGCACTAAGTCACGTTGTAGTGAAGAGGAGCCAGGATTCAAAACCAAGTCTCTAAGATGAGTGTGCTTTGCCCCTGAGCTACACTTCCTCAAATGGGGTGAAGGATTAAGTCGTGACTAGAATACAAGTGTGACTTACGTATCTCAGGTTGTCACATCTGACATTTTAAAAGTGAATTAGGTCATGTGTAATTATCTGTATTCATCTAGAATACTGAGATTAAATTGGAACCCTACTTCGATCCTTCAATTTTTAGACAACAGCAGATTATTGTAAATCACTATTCGAGATCTTATATGCCAGATCTTGTATAATCAAATTCTTTTTGTATAATCAAATTCTCCCATTTTGGCTTACTGAATGCAGTGGTTAAGTCTGGTTGACACCATGAATCACTTTAGACATTTTTGGTTTCCTAAGCTGAGCATCTGGTAAAGCTGTGTTCTTAGAACAGAACTGTAGATGATGGTTTTGAGCTACAGAATTTCATGAAAACAGCTGATTCAGCAAAACTAAACTTTGTCCATACAGTTGACTGCAAATTTAGCATGCCTTCTTTCCTATATCTGTAACAAATTTCCATTTGTGACTGTACAGATTAGTTCCGGGAATAATAACCTTTTAGAGTATCTTTACTTTTTTTTTTTAATTAACATATAATGTATTACTGGTTCAGAGGTGCACATCTGTGATTCTTCAGTCTTGTGTAATAGCCAGTGCTCATTTATATCACATGCCCTCTTCATCCTTCTACACCTCCCCCCCACCCCCAGCAACCCTCAGTTTTTTTCCTCTGATTAAGAGTCTCTTAAGGTTTGTTCCCGTCTAGTTTGATCTTGTTTTATTTTTTCCTCTCTTGCCCCTATGATCCTCTGTTTTGTTTCTTAACTTCCACATATCAGTGAGATCATACGATAATTGTCTTTCTCTGATTGACTTACTTCGCTAAGCATAATACCCTCTAGTTCCATCTGTGTCGTTGTAAATGAGTATCTTTACTTGTAAATTTAGTCCTTTACATTCCCTTATGTCCTACAGAAAGCTATAATTGGGTAGCGTTTTGAACATCTGAATACATTGGAATTAAAGTAGTACTGTCTTAATTGTGGGTTGTCCTAATTCCTGTCTTAAACAGCCTTGATTCTTTTGCAGTCATTTCTACCCTTAGTTTCCCACATCTTTTCATCCAGCTCTTCTAGAGTAGTTTGTGTGAATATTTGTCTTGATGACACTCTAATTTCTTTTTAAACCTTTGTAGGCATTAGTATGTTAATAATTTATGGATGAGTGTTTCTTCAGTTCAACAATAGCTATATAATATACTATAGTTTTTTCTTTTTAGGTAATCACAAGTGAAGAAGCTGAAAGACGGGGGCAGTTATATGACAACAAGGGAATCACATATCTCTTTGATCTGGATTATGAATCTGATGAATTCACAGTGGATGCAGCCCGATATGGAAATGTCTCTCATTTTGTGAATCACAGTGTAAGTGACACTTAAAGAATAGACAGGACTAATCAACTTAGCAGTGTTTTTAATGATTTTCCATAGTTGAGGAATAATTATCTTTAAATTACTTACCCTTTTAATATTTCTAGAGTATTTTAATACAAAGACCTCTTAGGTTAGGTTATGGTATTATTGCTGTATTAGGAAAATTCACCGAGGTACCTACCAAATACCATGCATTTTGCAGAGTTTTTATGTATGCTACTTCATTTAATCATTCCATAACTTCGTAAGTTAGGTTTTGTCTTAATGTAGAGGATGAAGTTAGTGGAGGAATTAAGCAGGTAGAAAGGTTAGGAATCACATGCAGCTGGAGGGGTTAACATGTAACATGTTAATACATATATAAAACTTAACTTGTAGAGTACTTAAGTATTTAGGGCTATTTTTCTAAGTTATAAGTTAGTATTTTTAATTCATGTTTGAAATGAACTTAGAATACACCTGGAACTCTAACTGTAGAATTTTATACTCTATAAACTATTTGTAAAAATAAAAGAGATGAATAGTTACTGGGTACCTACTAAGTGCCCACAGGTAAGGGTAGGTTATGTAGCTGCCCATCTAAGGAAGTAGGCCATGCTAAACTTTCCTTGGATTTATACCGAGAAACTAGTTTATGTTTAAATAGTGAAATGTCAGAGACCTTCTGACTCTTTTGTTAGCTTTTTTGATTGACTTAAACTTTGCTTTAATTTTTTTTTCCTAATGATAAATTTGAGATACTCTCAAAATAGATGTATTCTAAACAGGTAAACACTTAACTTTGATTTCTTAGGATGATTCACTAGATGTTTCTTCTTGCATTATCCAGAATTTAATGTAGAATTTTCAAAATATTAAATTTTCAAAATATTAAAGAGTTCCAAATAGAAGTTAAAGCAATGAAACTGCATGCAGTATGAAATTTGAGTTGTATAATGCTGACTTTTTTTTTACTTGATTTTTTAAATAGTTATCAATAAGGCATAAATGAATAGAATACTTATGAATTAGACAACAGAATACTTATATTCTATTCCTTTATGCCTTATTGAAATGAACTACATACAGGCTCAACCTTTTAACTTCTCTGAGGACTTGTCATGCAAACCCTAGATAACACTATCATTTCACCTGTATGTAGTTCATTTCAATAAGGCATAAAGGAATAGAATATAAGTATTCTGTTGTCTAATTCATAAGTATTCTATTCATTTATGCCTTATTGAAATGAACTACATACAGGTGAAATGATAGTGTTATCTAGGGTTTGCATGACAAGTCCTCAGAGAAGTTAAAAGGTTGAGCCTGGATGAAACAGGATTGGTAAAAATGTTAATTGTTAAAGCTGCAGGGTGAATATATGTGGAATATTTTTACTAGTGTTGTGTATGTCTGAGATTTTCTGTAAGTGAAAACAGCATTTTTTAATTTGCGTGCCTCAAAGACTGCTGAACAATAATGTAATTTCTAATAGAACTTAAAATAATAGTCAAGAAATTAAATATTTTATATGGCATGTAGAAGAGCCTACTCATGTCATTTTTTACATAAATGGATTCTAATGTTCCTTTTTAGTGTGACCCAAATCTTCAGGTTTTCAATGTTTTCATTGACAACCTTGACACCCGTCTTCCCCGAATAGCATTATTTTCCACAAGAACCATATATGCTGGAGAAGAGCTCACTTTTGATTATCAAATGAAAGGTATGGTTTTCAAGTACAGTTTGATTGGTGTTCAGTTGTTTCAGTTATGAAGAATCAGAGTAGTAAAAGACCTGAACCAAAAGATCGGAACCAAGCAAATATTAAAGAAGAGAAAAAAACGAGGTCACAAAGCTAATCTGACAGAGGTAGAACTAGAATCTAGGTCTGCCTGACCTTAAGCTGAGTAATGCTCTTTTCTCTGTATCACGTTGCCACCTGCTTTTTTCATAAGTTCCATTATGAGAGCTTATTATACATCTTTTCTCAATATTACTTAAATTGTAAATTTTAAAATTGTAATGTATTTCTGAATATTTACGAAGAGATGTATATTCAAAAGATTGAAAATACAACTTAAATCACAAGTGAACTTAATCCATTCCTACTTGGATTTGGCTTTTTTCAAAAAAAAAAAAAAGAAAAATGGTATTTTGTTTCCTTTATTGTAACAATGTTTTTTCTTTCCTTTGTTTTTTTTTTCTAAGTATTAATTACAAGTTGTTGCTATTTGGCCTCACTTTATGGCCCTTAAGTCATGTAGGAAACTAAATGTTTATCAGATTTTCCCATTAATTCCCATCATTTCCGAAAGCTATTCTTAGAAATATGGGCTAATAGCATATGCTTTTATCTCTTACTAGCCCACACCATCCTTTGAAGATAATCCAGTGATTTATTTCTGAATATTCACATTTACTTAAAACTGTGATAGAAAACTTGAACTTCCTTCTGAATTGTCTTAACTCTTATTTCCGTATTTCTTTTTCTATGTAATCAGGTTCTGGAGATATATCTTCAGATTCTGTTGACCACAGCCCAGCCAAAAAGAGGGTCAGAACTGTGTGCAAGTGTGGAGCTGTGACTTGCAGAGGTTACCTCAACTGAATTTTCAGGAAATAGAGCTGATGATTGTAGTTTTGTTTTTTTCTAATGTTGACATTCCAAAAAAGTATTTGGGACTCTTTTCATATTATCAAGACTATATGCTTTGTTAATTTACAGTTCACGTTTCAAACTATTGGCCAAATGTATTACTGATGCTTCTGAAGAGAAGAACACAGGGTCATAGACTAATTTGAAATACACATATTTAGTAATGAGATACCAAACATGAAAACTATTTACAGATGAGCATATACATACATACAAAGTCTGTGGGAATAAAGAAATGCCTCCTTCGGTGTTTAAGCATTGAACTGATAGTCAACAGTCACTCAGATCAAATATGCAACCTGCGTACACCTTGAATTTAGAGAAAGGTAATCCAGTTTGGGCAAATATATACAAGTGTTATTTCTGTTCTGTTGTCATTCCCATTATTACTTACTGTACTTGTATTTGAGACAAACAGATGATACTGAATTATACTATTTTCCTACTTTCATGAAAATATTGGGTCTTACTGATATAGAAATTTAAGGTTAAAATTAAATATAAAAGAATTTAATTACAGCTCAGTTTCATATTTTGAAGCTGTTATATGAGGCATGTATGTGTGAACCAATAATTCTTCAAGACCTTTATTCCCTTAAAAGAAAAATTTCCAAAAAGCTCTCAAATTGTAGCATGGCTGACCATTATGCTGCTTTGAAAGGATGGGGCAGTGGGATACAGGAGGGTTTTTGGAGTGCCAGGTAGAGGAAAGGGAGCAGTTGAAGGGCCCTTCTTAGTGACATGAATTAAGAGATCCATGTTGAGTACCTCTGGTCTAAACATAAACAGTAAAACGAGCTACCCCTGATTGCATTTGCACCTAAAAATAATGTTTCATACAATACATTCATGTTACATCTTCTGAATTTCAGGCAGTTTTAACATTTCCACCAAATTTAATTATTTTTATATTTCGTACAGGTCCTTCTTAAAATAATCTATATTTTGAACTGATACTTATTTTTTAATACATGAATTTTTTAAATGTGATAAAGCTAAACTTGGCTTGGCCAAAGTATGTACCTGAATAATGAGAACTTTTTTTACTTGAACCATGAAGACTGAAAGGGAATATATTCCTTGTTTGGTTTTTGTTTTTATTTTCCTGCATAGTAAAACCTCAATCGGGAAAAAAAGTGTTTTCATCTCTCACTGTGGCATTTGTAATCATGGTGTCCAACATAAAGGTAAGCGCAGCAAGTAAATCTGGCTTTCAGTATTCCTAATTAAGTTATACCTAAGCTCATTGCCCCATTGCTTTAATGACCTAAAAAAGTTTGGGTAAAATTGAATTGACTTCAAGAATGCAGCACTTCAAATATCTTCTTAATTTCGAGCCTCTCTTTTGGGAGAATGCATCTTTATTATGCATTATACTGCTGCCACGTGACTTTGCTCTTTCATAATATAGGGTAAATTTTTACATGTTTGGAGTCTCAGTGTATTAACCAAAATCTGCAGGTGTCAAGGAAAAATACATTTTTGGGTGCCATTTCTTAGGTTCTCTTTATAAGAAAATAGTCACATGGTGTCTGTGGTAAGAAATCACAGATTTACAGGTGCTTCAGTGGCCAAGCTTACTCTGAATTATAATTCTCACGGGTTTAAAGGTGTAATTTTAATATTTTTCTTAAAGTCTGTGTTTTGCTGTCCAGTTATTCTTGTCTACTTCTTGTGGTAAAAACAAATGTAAAACAGGAGGGCAAAGGGAATGGCTATTTTCAGTAAATTTGTTTCATTTTGTCCTTATTACTAGAAATTTAATGGGTCTTTGAGAGTTTAATTATCTGTGTTACCCTTATTTTATTAAAAAGCTGGACCTAATCAGTAAAATAGAAACTCCTTACATGAAGCTATTAAAAGCCTTTAACTATTTTAAGTCAACATTTAGCTTCTTTAGTTTCCCAAGTTGTCAGAATTTGTTCTCTCAGTATAAATATAGCCAATATTCAAGGGTAATATTTAGATTGAGTTAAAACTGTATATCCACTGTGCGAGTTGTATTGATATTGTTTTCAGTACCTACACGAGGATCGTGATAAACAGTTGGTAATCTCAGGGTCTTCTCCTCCTCTGTGCAAAATCTAGACTGCACTTATTTTTCTTACAGTTCATTTTTCTTCAGCAAAATAAATTTAGTTTGGCATTTGATTTTCTATTTATCGTGGCTTAGCTTTGTTTCTATTTTAGTGTCATTTCCAGTAAGGCTTTGTATAAAAGGGTCAAAAAACACTGGTGCATTCCGGACTACTTGCTTTTGAGATTAGCCAAAGGTTTTTACACCGTTCCTTTTAAAGTTTATCGTGGTCATGGTTGATCCATTTGAATATTAAAGTAGAATTTTACATAGCCTAAAATGGATACGGATGGATACTTGTAAAATGCCTTGAGCATTATTAGTCACCAGGTTACTTAAACACATTGTGCTAAATAAAAACTGCCTGGAACTGTAAGGGAATTTTCAACTAAAGCTCCTATTCTTTGAGCTTCTCATAAACTGGTGAGGCTGGTGCTCTCAACCCTGGACCACAGCAGAGGGAAGGGAGTCTAGACTAGTTAGGTAACAGCAACGTGCCCAAGATCACCCGGCTCCAGGCCAGTAAACTACCTGACTAAAAGGTCCTCAACTCTGTACTGTTTGTTTAAACAAACATGTAACTCTGGGATTCCTCTGTAAGGCAAATGTGGCTAGCCACAGCACTGTTTCTAGGACTATCTTGGCATTTTGAAACTTTTTTCTATGTTGTTTTTTCTACTTTACAGTTCTTAAAGTAAAAATCAAATAGCCACTATACTGAGTCCTGCTCAGTCCTGTGCTCTCTCCGAGAGGCATTATTGCCCAGCGGCTGAGCGCGCACACTCTGAGCTTGGACTGCCTGCGTTTTCAGTCCCGTCTTTCCCCCCTCCCAGCTGTGTGAACTAACCTCTCTGTGCCTTAGCCTCCTCATTTGTGAATGGGGAGAATAAATTTATCTACCTCAAAGGGTGTTGGTGAGGAATAAAGGAGTTGATGTCCAGCGTATAAGAGAATGGAGCATCATCACAGAATAAGCACCGTACGTAAGTGTCTGCTAGTTTTTCTGTACTGCGAGCCGGTACTTTAAAATCTTGGGTGAGCACAAGGTGGTGGTGGTGGTGGTGGTTTTTAAGTTTGTTCGAGTGCTCCTAGCCCTTAAATTCCTTCAGCTGGCATTTATTATGCCAGGTTGACCTAGAAAACGATGTGGCGATGTGATTATAAAGTGCTGAAGACTTCAGCAGAATGTGTCCAGGCGTGTGTTGAGTTCCCACCTTGGGTTATAAACTAGACTGTTAAGATGAGGTCTTTGGTGTCAGTGAACATATAGTTACATTCGATTATATGATTTGTAATAATGAAGTGTAACGAATTTTTAGAGCTGTAAATAGAAAATGAAGTCTCTGGGTTCTTGTATCAGGCCTGTTGTAGTTAGGAGGGGATATTCAACCAATGATCTGCAACCTCTACTGGTCTCTAGTGATTTTATATTCATTGGCATTTAGGTAATAGTACTCATAGGAGAGAGGGGCAAAATGGGATCCGCGTTAGTTTTACTTCAGTCATATGGAGTCTGTGGAATGTGTTTCATCAAAAGCTGGGAGTAGCTGCTGAGCTAGGAAAAAGGGATCAGTACAACCTGGCGATACTGCTTATCATGTAAATGGATCTGCAAACTGTTTTAGAGATGTCACTTAAACTCGTTTTAATTGCCATCTCTCCCTTTGCTTCCTTAATTTGTAAAATGCCAGCATACCGCAAAATGCTGGAGAAAATCTGTTAATAGGACTGTGTGAAACACGGAACTATGCAAAAATGTAACCCACTGATGGACTTGAAGGAAATCAAACGACTCCCAGAACACACGTATGCTTTTGCCATTTAATTATTTTCTTTCAGGTCCTAATTTTTCCACTTTTACATTTGTCATTGTATTCACACCAGCACTCTTAAGTGATATGTCTTTTGAGATAAATAAGGGGCTGATTTTTTGATGTTTTTATGACCCTGCAGTTTACGGTCGTCTAGCGCGGTCAGTGTGCCACGGGCACCTGTTAGTGGGTGGAGTGTTTTGCGTCCATTAGGTTCAGCTGGTCGGTGGTGCTCTGCGGTTCTTCTGTTTTCCTGCTTACCTTCTGTTAGGAGTGGGAGAGTCTCCAGCTCGAACTCTGCATTAGTCTTTCTTGTTGGTTTTTTCTTTGTATACATTGAAGCTGTTTTTAGGCACATACACTTCTAGCCTTGCGTCTTCTTTGTGAACTGGACCTTTTATCAGTAGAAATTTGTGTGCTATTAATATAACCATTCCAGCTTTAAGGTATTTAGATATCTTTTCCCATCCCTTACTTTTAACCTACCTGCATCATTTGCAGTGAGTTTCTTAGTGACTGCATATGGGAGGGTTGTTTTCATTTGTGTTTTGACCATTTTCACTTAACGTAATTATTGGTGCTAGGATTTAGTTCTACCATATCTTTTCTCTTTTTTAGCACTATTTTTTGTTCTCTGCTTCCCCTTCACTGTGCTGTTTTAGGTTACAGGAGCATTTTTCAGTACTCCACTCTCCTGTGTTTGTTCCCACTTGGACTCTTAACTCTTTGCGTAGGGTTTTTAGTGGTTGCTCTAGAACGCAAGGTTTTTAATTTTTAAGTATCTAAGAGTGAGCTTTTTCTTTTTTCAATGACTATATTCTCACCTGTTGCCAGCTTCTCATATAAATATTGTAAATGCTCTCCTTTAGGTAGCTCCGCTTCTGGTGTTGAGGGAATTTCAAAATCTGAGGAGCTCTGGGAGTCTGCAGTGGTGCTAAGATTTAGCGAACTTTTCTCCTGAGGTATGTGTATCCCAGTGCTTAGAGCAGTCGGTTCTCCAGCACTGGGAATGATCTTTACGTCTTGATTTCTGTGTTTCAAGTCAGAGTGAGTCTCCTTTGGACAAAGTACACTTTGTTCCATCTGAGAAGCAGGGATATGCTCTTTGATTCTTGGTCTGTAGCTACCTTTGTTTAAGGAGGGAATATCCCCACTCTTCCTCTCTTGGGATGATAACAAGACAGTATCAGATTGGCTGTCCCAGCCTTGACTCCCTTGCTCAGATATGTGTGTTGACTGAGAAGAATTCTGGGAAGAGATGTGAGTTGATTCCCCATCAGAGTCACTAAAAAGCTTCGGTGACTGAGAGCCCCCTGCCTCTGTGGAAGAAGAGGGGTTTTCCAAACCCTCGTCTGTGATTTCGTCATTTCTTTGAAAGAATACTTCCCACTGTGGTACTGCTACATCAGCCTGTGGCCGCTGGTGGGTAACGGCTCCCAGGTCTTCTTGAGACGAAGCTGGAGTCTGTAATTCTTCTTCACTCTCACTGTTAGATTCTTCACAATCTACAAAGTTTGCCCAAGGAGAGGTTTGCATACCCTCTGCTTTGAGGTAGCCGGTGCTTTGCCTCTGTTGTTCAGGCTGGGGTTGTGCTGCAGTCATTACAAATACCTCAGGGTGAAGAGTTAGCTGGTATGGAGCCTTGTGCCTCAGCGGTAATGGCACAGGGTCATCAAAGAGGTCATCTTCCTCCTCTACGGAAAAACACAGGAGAAATATGGGAAACACAGAATGCAGAGGGAGCCAATTTGTGCTTTTAATTTAAGATCCAATTTGTGGCATTTAGCTAGGTTTTCATTTGGTGGAACTGCAAATAATAGTTCACTCTTCTTCTAAGAAAAAGGCCCTTTAGGATATTTTGAATAATTTAATGACTGCCTGTCAACTTATGCCAGATTTTGAGTTGAGAATATAGATCTGCATTCCCCAGTAGGTCATAATGCCTATACCATTGGTTCTCAAACCTGGCTGTTCTTTAGTCTCATTTGGAAAGCTTTTTAATTTTGTATTCATTTATTTACATAATCTATAGCCAACATGGGGCTCAGATTCATGACCCTGAGATCAAGAGTTGCATGTTGTTCTGACTGAGCCAGTTAGGAGCCCCTGGAAATCCTTTTTTAAAAAAATACAGCTTTCCGTATCTCCTTCTAGACCTACTGAATCCCTGAAGGTGGGACCCGATATTTTGATTTGTGCTTTAAGTTCTGTTCAACAGCCAGATTTGCAGACTGTATGCTCTGGCATGGACAGTAGTCTCATGAGCATTTAATTTACTTGGCAAATAGTGGATACTCAGTGAATTCATTTTGTTCTGTGAACATTTTGATACCTATTTTGTGCATCTTATGGGCTAAAATGTGTCCTCCAAAGTTCCTAATTTGGAGCCCTAGCAACAATGTCATGTATCTGGAGATGGGACCCATAAGATGGGATTAGTGTCTTCGTAAGAAGAGGAAGACAGATCTCTCACTTTCCTTCTTTATGCATGGATGGCGTGGAAAGGCCAAGTGAGCACACATGGAGGCGACGGCGGTATACCACAAGGAAATGGATCTTCTCCAAGAGTCAGATCTGCTGGCACCTTGACCTTGGACATCGCAGCCTCCGGAACTGTGAGAATATCTGTTGCTAAGTATCCAGTCTCTGGTATCTGTCACAGCAGCCTGAGCCAGCCAAGTGTACGAGGCTATGATAGATACCAAGGGGGAAATTTGTGCCAAATGGGGCTCGCTTGGAAGTGGCACGAACTGGAAACCAAGGAATTTACTGTTTTGTTTTTTTTAAGCATGTTACATTAGCAATATAAAGAACCAGTCCCCTTAAATTCTTAAAAGGAGGAAACCTTACTTGCAGAATGAAATTCTCATAAATTGAGTAGGCATGTAATGAGGGGGGAGGTACACAAATACTTTCCCGCCTTCTAATGACACCTTATCTAAAAAGAAAATTGTTACCTTATTACCTTATAACTACTTACTTAAAAAGGCAACATTTTTCCAGTGATAAAGGATGTAGTTAAAAGCTGCTTTTAAAAAATGGACCACAGAGGTGAGGTTGCTCCCATTCTACCAATGAGGAGACCTGCCTAGGGAGGTGTGACAAGACTCTGGGTCAAGACCTGATCAGTTTGTTCCTGGCTCTGCCCAATCCTTAAGCAATGATTTATCTCCTTTTCTGAAGGACTTAAGGTGGCTAAGATATCTAGTGACTATATTTGGAATCATTTTCAGCTCCAAGTTAGCTTTATTTCAAAACATGGATTATAAATTTGTTTTTGCCACAGTTAACATTTTAGGCAATATTTCTATATCTCTAAGCTGAACAGTTTCATATTCTTAGACTAGTAACTATACCACTATCACGTTATGATGTTTCAACTATAAAACTGGCAAAACATTTTTTATATTAATTCTTCTAACTTTTCTGTATGTATGTATCTAAAAAACAGTATACTTCTGATACTGTGAATTCTTATGATATAAACATTTTAAATTTCTCTATATGAAAATGGAGGCATCTAACAAAATAAGTGTTAACAAGCTGATAAGCACACCTAAGCCCAATTTTAAAAGGACAGATATTACAATTCACAGATCCTTTCCACTGTCATGTCTTTATAACCATAAATGAAGCACCTGAATTTCTACAGTTTAACCCAATAATGAGAGGTATGAGACGGACTTAAAGTGGCGTTAAATGTACAAAGATGAATTACACCATTATATAGCCATAATGCAACATATGCAGCTATTTTTTTTTGAACAACACAAAAAGGTTAACTGCTTTTCAGCTTGTATGCACCTCTACACTTGTACAGCTTTTAGTAAACAGCCCTTGCCACAAGCCTGCAAGTGTCCCTCCTTCCCCCGCTCCCTGCCCTGGTCCCTTAAGGACTGCTGTCCACCTCTCCACAATCCCAGCCGGAAGTCTTACACAACTGAAGAGCTTCAGGACCCTGTTCTTGCACTATGGTTACTACTATTCTTGGTGGTGCCTAAACAATGTTTTTTTTTAAACATTTTTAATGCCTCTGAATTCTGGATATTTATATAAATGAATGGGGAGAAGGAAATCCATTAAAATGCTATTCAAAATAATTCAGAGTTGTGGCATTCTATAGAACTATTTTCTCAATTAACATAATAGCTATTAAGGGGCGCCTGGGTAGCTCAGTGGGTTAAAGCCTCTGCCTTTGGCTCAGGTCATGATCTCTGGGTTCCGAGATCAAGCCCCACATCGGGCTCCCTGCTCAGTGGGAAGCCTGCTTCCCTCTCTCTGCCTGCCTCTGTGCCTACTTGTGATCTCTGTCAAATAAATAAAATCTTTTTAAAAAATGAATATTAAAATATCAGAGCACAAAGAGCTTTATTGAAATGCTTTTCAAAAGAGGTCTATGAGAATGACTCCTCAACTTGCCCCTCAGAAAAATCAGTTGCTCTTAACATTTGTCCAGTACTATATGGGTACTAACACTGACTTGCTTCAACAGAACATATTTAACAGACAAGAAACTGAAAAACCGCCCCACACAATATTATAAATCACCACAGACTTTAAAAAACCACATGCACAGGGGCACCTGGGTGGCTCAGTGGGTTAAAGCCTCTGCCTTTGGCTTGGGTCATGATCCCAGGGTCCTGGGATCGAGCCCCGCATCAGACTCTCTGCTCAGCAGGGAGACTGCTTCCTCCTCTCTCTCTGCCTACTTCTGATTTCTGTCTGTCAAATAAATAAATAATCTTTAAAAAAAAAAAAAAAAAACCACCCACATGCACAGGGGCGCCTGAGTGGCTCAGTGGGTTAAAGCCTCTGCCTTCGGCTCGGATCATGATCCCAGGGTCCTGGGATCGAGCCCCGCATCACACTCTCTGCTCGGCAGGGAGCCTGCTTCCTCCTCTCTCTCTGCCTGCCTCTCTGCCTACTTGTGATCTCTGAGTGTCAAATAAATAAATAAAATCTTTAAAAAAAAAAAAAAAACACCACATGCACAGGACAGAATTATAAAGTCAGTGACATGGACCAAAGCAAACATGATTCCTAGGGCTTACAAAACACATCTAACCCACTATTAGACTGACACCAGAGGGTTGCTGAAAGATCTATACCTATACAAAGAAAAACTATAAAAACTGCTATATTAATAAGGAATAAAAATGCTAAGGAATCAACAAGGAACAAAGTCAAAGCTAACCCAAAAAAAAAAAAAAAAGCAATAAAATGGCAAAACAAATGTCAATCTGAAAACTCAAAACTAGTGGCCCAGGGTGCCTGGGTTGCTCGGGTGGGCAGCTGTCTTTGGCTCAGGTCATGATCCCGGAATACCAGGATTGAGTCCCGCTTCAGGCTCCCAGCTCCACAGGGAGTCTGCTTCTCCTCTCTCATGCTCTCTTTCACTATCTCTCCCAAATACATAAAATCTTAAAAAAAAACAACAACAAGGAACTAGTGGCCCAATAAAAAAAACCACATAGACAAAAGTAAGTGGCATGGGGTAGATGTTTAAAAGATACAAAGTGTTAAGATTTCTGCTTCCAGCCAAGAGTAACAGGGACTATAATTAACTTCTCACCTGAAACTAAGAAACCAGACAAAATATAACAGGCTCTCAAGAAATCAAACATCAGGCAATGAAGGACAAGGACACCTGAGACAGAAACAAATGAAAGGAGCCCTAAGCCTGCCCCAGTTAACCTGGTGACCGTTTCTAGGCAGGACGGGGACACCCAGGTAGAGCTCACAAGCATCATGTAGTTGAGAAGGTGTGACTGCAAGTTAAGCCACGGTGGCAGGAGTCTACAGGAGAGAGGGCCCCCTCTAGTGCTCAGCAAACTGATCAGTGCATGCTTGTGAGCTAACTACCTGAGACCAAGGAAAACTTACTCCAAAGAACTGAAAGAAACAGTGCCCAGAATGCACACAGTGCTAGGAGCATGCCTGTTCCTGACAGAGTGGAACCCCTCCTAATTCACAGGGCAGATGAAGGGGCACTAAAAGGGGCCTTAGTAGTGGGAGAGTTAATTCTAGACCAAATGCTGCCCTGCTTCTGCCTAACGATAAAAAAACACAAAAGCATCACACTGTAGCCAACCCACTTAAGCACATGCCAGAGCAAAGTGCGTGGATATTCTTAGAAATCCAAAATTAGAACCTAAGAAGGTAAGCTTCAGGTAAACTGAAATGATCCAGAAAACATAGGAGTAAATCTTTGTGATCTTGGATTAAGCAACAGTTGATTACAACACCAAAAGCACATGAAGTAAAACACAAATTAGATAGATTGGACTTAATCAAAATTCAAAATTTCACACTACAAGAGACTCCATCAAGAAAGAGCAAGACAAACTGTAGACTGAAAGAAAATATCTGTAAACCATATCTAATAAAGGACTTATACCCAGAGTCTATAAAGAACTTACAATGCAGTAAGATCAATAATCAAATTTAAAAATGGGCAAAAGAATGAAGCAGACATTTCAGCAAAGAACATAAATGGCCAATAAGCACATGAATTAAGCTCAATTATAAATAGTGAAATGCAAATCAAAACTATAATGAAATACCTCTTTATACCCACTAGAATGGCTACACTCAAGTGTGAGCCACAATGTGGAGAAAATTGGAATCCTCAGCTAGTGGGAATGAAAATGTGTTCAATTTAGAAAACAGTTTCTCAGTTTGGTAAAATGTCAAAACACAGATTAACTATGTTCTGGAATAAATGTGCCCTGCTCCCAATCCACACGTTGAAGCCCTAACCCCCAGTGTGGCTGTATTTGGAAATGGAGCCTCAAAGGAAGTGATGAAGTCAGTAAGGACAGCACCCTGATCAAACAGGACTAGTGCTCTTATAGGAGACATCGGCCTTTCCCCCTACAGCCTTCTGCCCCCAGCACATGCCCAGGAAAGGGCATGTCAGCACACACAGATAGGACAGCTACCTGCCTACAAGCCCAGCAAAGAGGCCTCAGAATGAAACTTACTTTGCCAGCACCTTGATCTTGGGACTTCCAGCCTCCTCAATTACGAGAAATGCCTGTTACTTAACTACCCAGTCTTTGATATTTTGTTAACGGCAACGGTCACCCCCACCATCATCTGGAAATGCTATTCCTGTGTTATTTACCCCAAATAAGTCCTGTGTCCACACAAAGACCTGTCTGCAAATATTCAAAGCAGCATAATTCATAACTAAAAAGCAGAAACAACCCAAATGTCCATCAACTGATGAATGGATACATAAAATGTGGCAGTATAAAGGAGTAAGTATTGATACAACACAGATGAACTCCGAAAAGGTGATGCTAAGAAGCCAGGCACAAAAGACCAAATGTTGTATAGTTCCATTAACATGAAATGTCCAGCAGAGACAGATCTATAGGGTTAGTGGTTGCCTACAACTGGAGGGGCTCATGGGGACTGACTCGAAACGGGCATGGTGTGGAGTAACAGAAATGCTCTGAAATTACACAGTGGCAAATGGCTGTGTGTGTGATAGTAACAACCATGGAAGTGTTTGCCTAAAAAGGGTGAAATTTATGGCATATAAATTACACTGCAATAATGCTTTAAAGAAACTGACAGTTTAAAGCAAAAAATATGTATATAAATTGTGGGGTTTATAACAAGTAAAATGGCAAAAAATGCAGACTGTGAGGGGGGAAATGGAGCCATACTGTCATTCAGTTTCTTCGACTGTGCTATAGCATTCCTGGAATAATATGTATCTTTTCACTCTGATAGGTTAAAGATGTCTACTGTAAGCCACTAAAATAAATACAGCCAATAAGCCAATAAGAGATGAATGTAATCTATCTATTCTTCCCTAATTGAAAAAATTTTTACCACAATTCCAACCAAACTCCCTCCGGTGGACATTTTGTACAAATGGCAAGATGACTCTAAATACAAAGGACCCGGATAGCCAAAACAACTCTGAGACTGTATCACTTAACTTCAAAATTTATAAACGTACAATAATCAAGACAGGGCAGTAGGGATGTCAAGACAGAGATCACAGAATATTAACAAAAAGTCCAGAAGTAGATCCCCACGTATATTGTCAATTGATTTTCAACAAAAGTGTGAAGATTCAGTAGAAAAAGGAGATCTCTTTTCAACAAATGGTCCCAAGAGCACCTGGATGTCCATATGCAGGAGAAACACACACACACACACACACACACACACACACACAAAACACTGGACCTCTAGTTTGCACCATACACCAAAAATAACTAGAAAATGGATCATACACCTAAATGTAAATCCTAAAACGACAAAAATTTCTATCAGAAAATGAAGAGAAAATCTTTGAGACCTTGAGTCAGGCAAAGAGTTCTTAATTATACAATCAATAAATAAACGAACATTAGTAAATGTAGCGTCAAAATTTAAAACTACTGCACTTCAAAAGACTCTGCAAAGATGAGTCACAAACTGGAAGGTTTTGCAAAGCATGCAAATGATAAAGAATTTATATCCAGAAACTTGGAAAGTTAATAAAAAAGTAACAAAATAATATTAAAAATGGGTAAAGATTTGAACACTTCACCATTGAAAATATATGGACACCAATAAGAACATTAAAAGATGCTCAGCCTCACAAGCATTAGGAAAATACAAATTAAAACCATGAGAGACCACTGCACACTCATTAGGATAGCTAAAAATACTGGCAATAAAGTAGAGCAAGAGAACTGGCAAGAAAGCAAAATGGTCCAACCACTCTGGAAAACAATTTGGCAATTTCTTAAAGACACAGCAACCCTATGTCCACTCCTAGTATGAAAGCATACATCCATACAAAGATTTGTACATGAATCTTTACAGCTTTATTTCTAATAACCAAAAACTGGAGACAACCCAAATGGATCAGGAATGGATCAGTAAATTATATATCCATGCAGTGGAATACTATTGATCAATAAAAAAGAATGAACTATTGATACCTGCAATAGTATCAATAAATTTCAAAATAAATATGCCAAGTGAAATAAGCCATATTTGTATGTGATTATTTTAGAAAATTTTAATTTATCGGATAGCAGATCAGTGGTTGCCACAGCAACACAGCAAGACAACAGGAGGCAAGAGGGGCAGCTGGGAAGAATTACAAAGTGGCAAAAGGAGACCTGGGGGGGTAATGGATATTTTCATTATCTTAGTTATGGTGAAGGCCTCTCAAATATATGCATCTGTAAAAGTCTATCAAATTGGACACTTTACATGTGCAATTTATTGTGTATCAATTATACCTTGGTAAACCTTTCTTTAAAAACCCTACAATTAAGTTTGTAGATACGAAGGATTAGAAAATGTAGTACATGATAGCTATAACATCTGAAAATACAACTGTTTTCCTAGAACCAGTCCTGGAATTTGCATCTTAAGATTTTCTATTTGATTCTAAGTGAAACACAGAAATGGAGATGGGAAAGACAGGCTTGGATTAGAGTCCAAGATCTGTAAAGAACTTCTCAAACTCAACACCCAAAAAAACGGATAAATCAAAAAATGGGCAGAAGACATGAGCTGACACATGAAAAAGTATTCATCATTAGCCATCAGGGAAATTCAAATCAAAACCACATTGAGATACTATCTTATGCCAGTTAGAATGGTAAAAATTAACAAAGCAAGAAACAATAAATGTTGGAGAGGATGTGGAGAAAGGGAAACCCTTTTATACTGTTGGTGGGAATTGCAAGTTGGTGCAGCCACTTTGGAAAACAGTGTGGAGGTTCCTCAAAAAATTAAAAATAGAGCTACCCTATGACCTGGCAATTGCACTACTGGGTATTTACCCCAAAGATACAGATGTCGTGAAAAGAAGGGCCATCTGTACCCCAATGTTCATAGCAGCAATGGCCACAGTCGCCAAACTGTGGAAAGAGCCAAGATGGCTTTCAACAGACAAGGAGATAAAGAAGATATGGTCCATATATACTATGGAATATTACTCAGCCATCAGAAAGGATGAATACCCAACTTTTGCATCAACTTGGATGGGGCTGGAGAAGATTATGCTGAGTAAAATAAGTCAGAGAAAGTCAGTTATTAAATGGTTTAACTTATTTGTGGAACATAAGGAATAGCATGGAGAACATTAGAAGGGAAAAATTAGGGAGAGATTGGAGCAGGAGACGAACCATGAGAGACTATGGACTCCAAGAAACAAACAGAAGGTTTTAGAAGGGAGGGGGGTGGGGGGGATGAGTATTAAGGAGGGCATGGATTGCAAGGAGCACTGGGTATTATACGCAAACACTGAATCATGGAACACTACATCAAAAACAACGTACTGTATGGTGATAACACAAGAAAGAAAGGAAAAAAAAAAAAAAAATCCCAGCCCCATCACTCACTTCTGACTGGACCTTGGGGGATTTATTTCACTCTCTAAAATTCGTTTTCCCTGATAGTAAAATTGGGATGATAGCCCTTGGATGTTTGGGGTTTAGCTGTAATGTATGTAAAGGACCTAGCACAACACCTGCCGTATACAGCAGGGGTTCAATAAATGCTATCATTATTACCTACTCTTTTTGGGTCATGTATTAGCTCCATGGTACAGTAACAGACCCTCCTCCAAAGCAATTTAACTTCAGAATCCTAACTACGCAATCTGGCTGCTGTGAAGGAGCAGAGCTTTGATAGGAATCTGAAGCTCTGATTTCTTCCTCAGAGTTTACCTCTGCTCTTCGCTGGAAAACTCAAGTAGCAATGAAAAAAGGCACGAAAGTACAGAGAAAATCCATTAGTAGAAGCACTGCTGATCAATCTGGTTGGAAATGATGACAATGACAAGCAAAGTTCCCATTACCAGCATATACTAGTATCTTAGAGGAAATGTCCAAGACAAACAGCACAGCCTCTCCTTATGCCTACACTGACCACAGGGCCTACTTCCAGAAAGCTGAGAACACAATTCAATGCAGGCACAGTTCTAAGGTCACTTGTTTCAAGCCTGTGAAAGAGACTGGACTCCTGGCTTCTCGGGCTGCGGAAGGAAGGAAAAGCACTTCCTGAGAGCATCGTGACAAGTCTGAATGATAGAAGGTCCCAGGCCCACCTCTGCCCAATGAAGCTTTCACCAGACCAGAATAGCCTGGAAAAAAGTTTTGCATGGAAACCCACACCTCTGAACCCAGGGCGCGTTTTCTTACCGGAGTCGAGGTGAGTTTTTCTAGCTCTCTTCAATTTTCCAAGTGGTTTATACTTTGGCTCCGTACTTTGGGAAGATCGGCATAAAGGCTTTAAGCTGAAACAAATATGAATATTTTATTTTTTCCTGTGGGGAAAGCTGCCAGAACATAAGCATCATTTACAGAGAAGATAAAAACTTGGCCATGGGGAAAATCATTTAACTACTTTTAAAAACTGAAAAGCCATGTTTAATAATGAAAAAACCACTTCACTGTAATAAAGTGGTAAATAAAAGTACTTAAATACAACCCATCACACAGCTGTCTAACTGTAGGATTGAGCGAAGGCTAACTCCTGTATTTGGTCTTGCACTGCGGAAAAGCAGGTCCCTCTTCTATAAGACTATTAGGTAATACAGTGACACCTGGCATTCACGGAATACAGGACAACTGGCTGCTTACTCTTCCCTATTTAATGGGGTTCATAAGAATCTCACAAATTTGATCTCCTCATTCTAGAGGCAGAAAGCTAAGGCACAGTGATGATAAAATACGAAAGGGCACGGAAAGGACTTTTTTCTTTTCTTGAGGGCCTCACTGCCAACTGCTTCCTTGTGTCAGATTCCCAGAAGCCTTTCTTCACTTGAAGAAAGCCGCCAGGCTCCCAACCAGAAAAGTACTGACAGCCGTGTCCATCCTACTTACATCCTGGCCCTTGTCCTTAGGCCCAAACATAGTCTCAGAATCCATCCTGTTCAACAACAGAAGTTCCACAAGGAGCAACTACTCACATTTCTACAACTTTATCCACAGTGGTGCCTATTGGAATGACATTTGGATATATGTTCACAGGACAGATGTAGCTCAAGAAATCTTTAATCTAGAAGAAGGAAAATAGAATGGATCGATTATCTCTATGCTGAAAAATCTGGGTGTTAAAGAAGCAACAAAAGGGAGGGCAGGAGAAAGAGCAGCAGGAATTTCTTAGGGTGCGGTTCTCAATACTAGCTGCACGGGGGACACCCGGGGACCTCTTTGGAAAGAAACAGCCAACACTCAGGCCCACCCCCCAAAATCCTCTTGCTACTGAGCTACAGTGGGGACTGGGAATCAGGATATTGAAATGTCCTTCAGGTGATTCTGTTCCACAGTAAGGACTAGGAATTACTGATTAATGGAATTCAAAGATTCTTTTTTTTTTTTTTTTTAAGATTTTATTTATTTGACAGAGCGAGAGAGCACAAGCAGTGGGGAAGGGCATAGGGAGAGGAAGAAACAGGCCCCATGCTGAGTAGGAGCCCATTGTCGGGCTCAATCCCAGAACCCTGGGATCATGACCTGAGCCAAAGACAGATGCTTACCTGACAGAGCCACCCAGGTGCCCCCCTATATTTCTTTAAATGACATTAGTTTCCTTGTCTAATAAAGTCACATGCAATTAACTAATTCCCTTCAAGGAAATTAGAATTAAGCTGAATACTTAATACACACAAGGAAACAAGGTCTTAGAGTTGATTTCTTTTCTCCAACAAATAAAATAAGGAAATTACATCTTCTAGGTTTATTCTAGAGGAAAATTACACGCAAAAATTTCATGAATACCTTGATTTTGTGCAAAATTTAGAACGCTAACCAGAGGAACTCTGTCACTATTCCTCAAAACATCTCTACAGCACCGACAAATTTCAGCGTTGTCACTCATTGGTGAGCAGGTGACCTTGGTCAAGTTACCTGAAGTCTCTTAAGTTACTAGATTCTTCATCTAAAAGTATAAGGGAGATAATGCATCTGAAGTGTTTGGCCTGGAACCTGGCATATTATTTTTTTTTTTAAGATTTTCTTTATTTACTTGACAGAGATTACAAGTAGGCAGAGAGGCAGGCAGAGAGAGAGGAGGAAGCAGGCTCCCCGCTGAGCAGAGAGCCCAATGCGGGGCTCCATTCCAGGACCCTGGGGTCATGACCTGAGCCGAAGGCAGAGGCTTTAACCCACTGAGCCACCCAGGCGCCCCTGGCATATGTTTAACATTCAATGAAATTATCCACCGCAGAGATGACAATGACAACACAAAGGTTGTTTTTTTTTTTAAAGACAAGGATGTCCACTCTCACCACTCTTTTTTTACTTTATTTATTTGTCAGAGATAGAGAGAGAGAGTACACACAAGCTGGCAGAGAGGCAGGCAGAGGCAGCGAGAGAAGCAGGCTCCCTGCCGAGCAAGGAGCCTGATATGGGACTCGAACCCAGGACCCCAGGATCATGACCTGAGCCGAAGGCAGAGGCTTAACCAACTGAGCCACCCAGCCGTCCCAACACAAAGGTTTTTATTCTCTTCTACAAGTGGGGAAACTGAGCTCTGAGTAATTTTTAGAACCCAACTTTACCAAATCAAAAGAGGTAGGAACCCAGGGATTAACAGTAATTCCGTATTAAAATAAAGTGGCGACCTTACTTAAAATAGGAGAAAAAAAAATAAGACACATTCATTCTTCAGGTATTTTTCATAAATTCTTTTGTATTTTCAGAGCAGGCGTGCAATCAGAAACTCTTACCTGTCCACAACCTACATGATTTGCATAATTAACTCAAAGTTGAGGCTGGCAGAAATCTGAGGCTTTTCAAGAGAATAGGAATAAAGAAAGCAAGGTCAACGTATACCAAAATGATTCACTTCTACTTGGAAATGAAGTGGCCACAGGAGACAAGAGACACCCACTAGATGGGCATCCTCTGTCCCTTGTACAAGCTGATGTCCTTACGTCAGATGCCTGCCTTAAAACAACTCATGAACACCAGTTATCCTCATTATCCACAGGGGTCATGTTCCTTGAGGTCACTGGGAATGGTGAATTAGCAAACACTGAATCACTACTCCTAAGTGGAAGAGAAGGTTCCTGTAAGCCTCTAGTCACTGCATTTTTGTCAATCTATCAATGCACCACACCCTGTTTTATGTGTTTTGCTGTTTAAAGACACCGATTCAGGGGCGCCTGGGTGGCTCAGTTGGTTAAGCAAATGCCTTTGGCTCAGGTCATGATCCCGAAGTCCCCGGATGGAGTCCCGCATCCAGCTCCCAGCTCCACAGGGAGTCTGCTTCTCCTTTCTCCCCTCTCATTCTCTCTCTCACTCTCTCTCGAATGAAAATGAATAAATAAAATGTTTTTAAAAAATAATAAAAAATAAAGATACCAATTCAGGGCTGCCTGGTGGCTCAGTCAGTTAAGCGTCTGCCCTGCCTCAGGTCATGATCGCAGGGTCCTGGGATGGAGCCCCACATCTGGCTCCCTGCTCAGTGCGGAGCCTGTTTCCTCCTTTGCCCCACCCACACACGTGTGCATGCACTCTTGCTGACAAATAAAATCTTTAAGAAAAAAAAAAAAAAGGTTACCTATTCAGTGTGTACTGTTGATTCATAACTCCTAAACTCACAGTCCAAGGCACCGTACCTCATGCCACAGGGATTTTCTCCATAAAGCACATCCCCACCTCCGTGCTTAGGAACACACACAGTACCCCAGCACTGCACTTGGGGGCCACTTTAAACAGTGAAATCCCCAACAGAAAGCACAGAAACGTGTACAATGAAGCACTAAACTAACTGCAAAAGGGCCCCTGTTGACCCTATGAGTCCAGCGGAGAGGGCAGAGCACCCCCTTTTACGGCCTAAATTGGAAATAGCATGTCCGGGGACTCCCGCTTCTCACCACTCTGTTGGGCATGTCTGCAAGCAACCACGCAGCACCGCGCCTATTAATCTGGGGTCATGAGCAAATTTTAGTGAGCAAGCAAACTTGTAAATAAGGAATCCACAAAAAGGAGGATCCGCTGTATTCAGAATAAAAACTGACAGGAACTATTTATGGGGCACCTGGGGGGCTCACTTGATAGAGCTGAAAACTCTTGGTTTCGGCTGAGGTCATGATCTCAGGGTCATGAGATCGAGCCCCATGTTCGCCTCTGCAGTGAGTCTGCTTGAAATTCCCTCTCTCTCCCTCTGCCCCCAACCCCCCCTCAAGTGCATGCTCTAAAATCATTAATTTTTAAAAACTGACGATTTATGTTTTTAAATGTATTTCAACATGATCTATACTTAGGATAGGCCTATTATTTAGAGCACTTTTCAGGAAAGCCTGTCTCCTCATCACCACCCTCAGAGAAGATGACCACACGGAGCTCAAGGTGACCCTCCATGGGTGCGGTCACTAGTGCTAATCTAGGGGAGAGTGTGGTCGGCCGACAGCAGGGCAGGGGGGCTCATCTGCTTCATCTCTCCACTCAAGCATCAGGGAATATCTCCTTCCTGGGGGGGGTAACTGCATAAAGTCCCAGCAGGGATTTTCATCAACCCTGATGCTGAGCCAGATGCCAAACCAAAGACAAACCCCTAGGAGGAGGCTCTGACAACAATCTGAGATTTCAGGATAAAATGAGGAAAACACATCAACTACATTATACTATCACAATGAGTTCCTTCCAAGATACTCTCACATAACCTATTTGTACCTGAAAGTTAAGGTCAGTCATTTAATAGAGAGGTCATTATGATACTTTGATAATAAGATAAGGAATCATTTACAATACTATAGCTGACTTGGTAAGAAAGCCACTACCTGGAGCTCTGGAAGAATCCACCTGTTCAGATCATTAACATGTCCACGGCTCACTGCTGCAGGGCTATATCCATGTATCCCAAATACAAAAATAATAGTTATCAGGGAAATCAATTTTTAAGTGCCGAAATGGTCAAACTAAAATTATATGTGACAGTCTGACTTTATATACCTTTTTCTCCTGATATGTACATGAAATTACTAAAACTCAGCACTTTTAAGATGCTAGCATTTACTTTAGAAATGCACGAGGAGTTTGCAAATACATCACACATAACATGTTCCCACTTGAGTGAGGAGGTCAATTTCCTGTATAAAAAGGATCCTAACAATGCAACAGCGGAATTACTGAACTCTACATCTGAAATAATCATGTTTTACATATTGGCCAGTTAAAGAAAAGGGAAAAATAAAAAGGATCCTAACAAAACCATTTAATAACCCTTCTTAAGCTGGGTAATTCCAGTATATATGTCCTTCCTAAGAACAAGGTCTCTACCTCAATCACCTTTGTTCTTTCTCCCTGCCAAATATTCAGGACTATTTTTTAAACAGTTTTTTGACACAATCCAAGTTGGGAAGAGGACAGAAATCTGGACAGCACCTTAAGGCTGCCCGTGTGAGATTCCATTTGTAATACTCCCTTATGTAAGATTTATGATCCTCTTATGACAGGTGAACAGAACTGAAGCGGGAAACTTAAAATACATGCAGGAAGCAAGATGCGAAGAAACCCTTAATCATCAGTATTCTTCAATGTTTAGGCTGAAAACAGCTGATAATAGCCAATTTCCTCTATTACTCAGTAAACATAGCTCACCTACTGATATTTTTCCTGAATTTCTTTGGAAAAAGCCACACCAAATCTTAAGCAGTAGGAAAAGAGAAGCCCCTGGTCACCAAGGGGACCACTACTGCTGTCAAACAGGAAGGGGCTGGCAAAGCAGCTGGCAACAGGGTTCTGAGTACATGGGATCGATCCTCTTACCTCACTGTAGGAAGAATGAAAAGAAAAACAAGCTCTGTATGAACTCTCTCCAGTCCTAAAGAAAAAGAAAACATAAAATGAAAAGGTCACTTATCAAAACTAAGCAAAGTTCTCAATTTCAGGCCTTCCCACTTAGTCTATTCCAATATGAAATCACCCCACAACCAAGGGTTTCTCCCTGGGATAAGAGGGAACTCTTTCCAGAAGCAGAAATATTTGTAGACATCCTGAATACCCAATATTAAGGAAGTATTGCCAAGATGCGATGATCATTACAGTGCTCCTCTACTCCACCAAGGGCTTCTATCCCCCATGACGGCAGATCCCCACTCCATGCCAAGCAAGATGCCTTCACTCTCCGGCCACCTGGCCAGAACAGAGCTCAGGAAATCCCGGCTAATGGCACTGGCCATTAGGCAGGTTTGGAAGTAGAACCTCTTTAAACAGGTTTAAATGTCGGAGGTTATTCCCCACGATTATAGTATATCCTCCTCTGTGCGTTAGGGTACACTGCATTGAAACTAAACGAAATCAGAGCTCCTGGGTGGCTCAGTCAGTTAAGCATCTGCCTCCAGCTCTGTGGGCCTGATCAGCCCACATCAGGCTCCCCACTCTGCAGAGAGTCTGCTGCTCTCGCCCCCATGACCCTCCCACTGTTCCTCCTCTCACTCACTCCCTCGCTCTCAAATAAATAAAATCGTTATTTTTTAAAAGATTATTTATTTATTTATTTATTTGACAGCGTGCATGAGCACAAGCAGAGGGAGCAGGAGAGGGAGAAGCATCCCCACTGAGCAGGGAACCCCGATGCGGGGCTCGATCCCAGGACCCTGAGATCATGACCCAATCTGAAGGCAGACGCTTAACCCACTGAGCCACCCAGGCACCATGATAAATAAAACCTTTAAAAAAGAAACAAACAAAACTAAAATAAATCAGATACATTACCTCAAAAAGCAAGATTTGTCTCAAAACACAGGTTGCTTTCTTACCTCACAATGACATTTGTTCTTCTGGTTCTTTCTCCAAACCACATAGTGGATGGTTTAATGCTGATTGTGTGGAGTGGAATTTTATTTTTGGAAATAATTCCACAAGGTAATTTATTCCAATGAAAATACTCCTCTGCCTAAAAACAGAAAAGCAGTTCAATGCTTTCAACAAATATGTTTGTACACAGGGTCTCAAAAACAAATGCTTATAATGAAATAAAAAAGTAGATCTAAGGAGACAATCAGATAATTCCAAATTTAGGACCACTCTGCCAAATGACTAGCCTGGTCTCTTCGAAAATATCAATGTCCTGAAAGAAGAGCAAAAGGCTGGAGGCTTGATCTACATCAAGAGACAAAAGAGGCCACAGTGATGGCAACACACACCTGACTTTCACTCGGGACGCCCGGCTCACCCTTCACATGCTGAAAAGGACACAACTACACAACCAGGGAGAATGAATACGGGCCACACATCCAATTTTTTTCAAAATAAAGTTGGAGGGAAAAGTAACAAAAGTGTTTTTAAAGGCTGAAAAATGGGGTGCCTGGGTGGGTAAGTCGTTAGGCATCTGCCTTCAGCTCAGGTCATGATCCCACGGTCCTGGGATCAAGCCCTGCACTGGGCTCGCTGCTCAGCGGGAAGCCTGCTTCTCCCTCTCCCACTGCCCCTGCTTGTGTTTCCTCTCTTGCTGTCTCTCTGTCAAATGAATAATAAAATCTTTAAAAATAAATAATAAATAAATAAATAAATAAATGGCTGAAAAACAATGGGACTATTTTCCCGAAGATGTCATGTACGGATCGGGGTCCTGCAAAACCATTACTGCTCAGTCCCAATCAAAGGCCATCAGGGGGCCTCAGGTGCGGGTCCTGCGGAGGAGGGGGCGCCAGGGAGCGCACCAGGGCTCTGGGGCTGCAAGCGGTATTCCTGAGGCTACGGGACGCCGCCTGAAGGCGTGTTCCAAGGCAATTAGCCATGGGGGAAGGGACAGGGGTGACAGAAACACAGTTACTTTGTGGGATGTAAGAAAACTCAGAACAAAGAGAAACCTGCCAATTAAAAGATTTACAGGGCTTGTGAGGACCAAAGACTAACAGTCCGAAAAGAGAGAGATAAAACAGTTGCTATTCTGAGTCTATGTGATTTTGATCCAACCGTAAATTCAGTGAGGCTGTGTGTGTGTGTGTGTGTGTGTGTGTGTGTGTACACACCCACAAAAGGATGAAATAAATCCATGACTCGGGTTATGATATGCAGCTTACCAATCATCAAGATAACTTCTTACCTTGTAGTTCTCCTACAAGTAGAATATTCCACGTTATAGGTAAGAATTTGTTGTTGGTGTTTTGTTTTGTTTTGTTTTTAAATTATCCTTTATTTAGGGCTGAGCAAGTATACTTTAGGGATTTTGGCAAAGGAGCAAATATTACTACCACAATGACTGACTCACTAAATAAAAGCAGTGTTAACTAAAATAAAAATCACTCAGCATTTGAATGTTCAGATATTTTAAAAATTTAGAGGAAAATCATGGCCATGCACACCCCCACCTCTGAAGATCCTGATTTAGGATTAGTGATGCCAACTGACTATATAAATTGAGAAGAAAAAAAAATGTTAAGGGCAAATGCAAAATTTAATACCTGATCTTTAATAACAGAAGGGAATTTAATAAGTGAAGGGAGTTCTATGGTGGCCTTTGCAAATGAATTACAAATGAGTTAGAAAACACTAAAAAAACACTCATCTGAAACGGACCAGCAATACCTAAAAACATTTCAAAGGATGAAGCGAAGTTATCTCCAAGTATTTATCTCAAATGAGTAGAAGAAAAATAATTTATGAACGTGCACATAGGTCATGAATCTCAAATATAAGTAACAATGGATTGTAAACATTGTTATAAGCTCTAACATATTACTAATCTCATTATAAATACATTACTCATCATGTAATTCATTACAAATAAACATGTATCAAATGCACATGGATTTATTTCATTAAAAAACAAAGGGGATCCGTGTCTGTTTACTGCCATGCCATCTATGGCAATGGAACACAGTGACGTCTAGCTGTGTGGCCTGGGGTAACACCGGAGGCTCTCAGCCTCCGTTTCCACATCTGTTAACTGAAGGGCCTAGAATATGGGATTTCAGAGCTTCCTTCCGAACCTAAAATTCTGTTTTCCATGCATCACACCCACAATCAGAAAAGCAATTTACTCCGCACCTTTGGATGGCGACAGGCATGGATCTGAGTGCTGCGGTCTGTTGTGAGATGATGAAGAATGTCCGGCATGTTTCTAAACATGTCTAGTCTGTTCACGTGAATCTGAGCAAAATAAGACATACAAGCATATTATCTGAATTGTATTTCCTACTTAAAAAAAAAAAAAAAAAAAGCAAAACCAGTTCAAGGGTGATGCTGCCAGGCAAATCATCCAGTTAGTGAAGTTTCTTCTTTCTTAAAACTTGGTTTTTGGAGGGGCACCTAGGATCGAGCCCCATGTCGGGCTCCCCCTCAGCACCAAGTCTGCATGTGCCGCTCCCCAAATAAATAAAAACTTTAAAACAAAACAAAAACCTAGTTAAGGAGCTATTTCAGTGCACACTGGTAATATGCCGGGATGTCAGGAGGCAAAGGACAGAAACCCTATTCCCACCAGTCAGCATTAGTGCCGATAGGTGGTGGCACTAAAACATTCTGGAGACTCAGTTGGTGAACCTCGTTGAATCGTGCTAATACAATGGACCCCGAACAACACAGGGGTTGGGACGCCAACCCCCACACGGTCAAAAATCCCCATGACCTTCTACTCCCCAAGAACTTAAATGCTAATAGCCCCCTTACCAATACCATAAACAGTCAACTGACATACATTCTGTTATATATCACACACTGTATTCTTACAATGAAGCAAACTAAAAAAATGCTACTCGGAAAATCGTAAGAGAAAATACACTTAGAGTACGCACTGTTTTTCTTTTTTTACTGAAGTACAGTTGACCCACGAAGTTACATTAGTTTCAGGTGTACAACACAGTGATTGGACAACACTGTAACTCTCTAGGTTATGCTGTGCTCACAAGTGTGGCCACCATCTGTCACCACACAGTACTATATATGATACAATACTGTATTTATCAAAGAAAATCTACATATAAATGGACCCATGTGTGGGACGCCTGGGTGGCTCAATTGGTTAAGCGGCTGCCTTCGGGTCAGGTCATGATCCCAGCATCCTGGGATCGAGTCCCACATCAGGCTCCTTGCTCGGCGGGGAAGCTGCTTCTCCCTCTGCCTCCGCCTGCCACTCTGTCTGCCTGTGCTCACTCACTCTCTCTCCCTTTCTGACAAATAAATAAATAAAATCTTTAAAAAATAAATAAATAAATAAATGGACCCATGTGGTTCGAACCCATGTTGTTCCAGGGTCAACTCTACTGTCCTTCAATCTGCCAAGAGTCATTCAATTCACATTTATTGTGCACCTGCTACAGGCCAAGTTTTATTCTAAATACTGGGTATACTGCAGTGAGTAACCAAGAATCACTGACTTGTGGAGACACACCCCCAACATGCCATATGAGTTAAGGTTTTAGGGGGAACACAGCTGGAGGAGGAAGCAGAGTCCCAGACCCACCCCCTTACAACACACCCCTTTATGGGATTAAAAGGTGAAGGACAGATGGGGGGTTGGGGGGGGAAGCTTAGCCACTTTAAAAAAAAATTTTTTTTTAAAGATTTTATTTATTTGACAGAGATCACAAGTAAGCAGAGAGAGAGAAGAGGAAGCAGGCTTCCTGCTGAGCAGAAAGCCCAATGCGGGGCTCGATCCCAGGACCTGGGATCATGACCCGAGCCAAAGGCAGAGGCTTAACCCACTGAGCCACCCAGGCGCCCCCACTTTTAAAATTTTAAGGCTGATACATTTTAAATTGTTTAACCAGTGTATCCGTTTTAAAAGACTCTCTTCTTCAAAGTAAGTAACATGTACCTAAATTGATACTGGGACTGTGAAATAGCACAAATAAGAAGTATTCGCTCTCATTTTGAAATCTGATTAACAGATTAGAATAATGTCAAATCGCTGTGGTAATTAATACCAAGACAAGAATAAAAAGAATCCAACATAACTGCTTCTTTATCCTGCACCTTATTCCATTCATTCCGTTTACTAATGACTAGTAAGGAGTAACAACAAATTTGCTTTTCTGGACTCTCTAAGAAAATAAAAAGGGGTAAATTTTAAGGTGTACAGAGATACAGAAATTTTATCCTCAACAAAAATAAAGAAGCCTGAAAAAGTTGCCAGAGATCATCTCTGAGGTCCCTTAGTCAAAAACCTCCCTGTTGTCCCTTTTTAAATTCCTGATCTGAAATTGTTTCTATTCCCCGCAAAGGGATTCAAGGGCCTGAGAAAGGGCTCATGCCAGGGGTACTCTGAGATCACAGGGTCACCCCCCAAGGCTGCTCTCCCTCAACCCCAGCCCTCCTCAGCCCAAGGTTCCTTCCTGCAAGGCCTTCCCAGATTTCACACCCATGCGAGTATGTACAATGGGAATTTGGGACTGATAAGCAGCTGCTACCTTTGTACTTCACCAAGAGGACAGGAGGGAAAGAGCAGATAATAGAGATCAGTGTGTGTGTGTGTGTGTGTGTGTGTGTGTATGTATGTGTGTGTGTGTGTACATAACCTATTATCACTGTGATTTTAATTTAAAAGGCCATTTTAACACCAAAAAAACCAGGAATGACAATCTCAGAATGAAAGCAAATCCTTCTCAAAAAGGAGAATTCACAACTTTATACCAATGTATTTTGACAGAGGGACCCAAGGAAGGAAAAAATTAAGGAAAGAAAAGACAGAGGGAGTCAAGATTTACAAAGGGAGGGGGGAAGAATTTTTTTAATTTCATATGCAGAAAAGCTAGATCTTTTTCATTTTACTGAATGACACTGACTTGGCACAAGTTTGCTGGATGGGGGATCAACGTTAAAAGGTACAAAACAGGGGCGCCTGGGTGGCTCAGTGAGTTAAAGCCTCTGCCTTCGGCTCAGGTCATGATCCCAGGGTCCTGGGATCGAGCCCCGCACTGGGCTCTCTGCTCAGTGGGGAGCTTGCTTCCTTCTCTCTCTCTGCCTACCTCTCTGCCTACTTGTGATCTCTGTCAAATAAATAAATTTTTAAAATCTTTAAAAAAAAAAAAAAAAGGTACAAAACAGAGTGGAACTTAAATGTCTAACTCGCCCCAACATTCTGTTTTATTCAGGGTCATTGCCAGAACTCCGTCTTCTCTCAGGGGACAAGAGCAGGAGCCCCAGGCTCGGCTGCTCCGTCCGAGAGCCTAGCACCGAGCCTTGAGGAAGGAACAGGTGAAATAAAACTCCCTCCCAGCCTGCCCTGAAGCTTCCGAGCTCTAGGACAGCAGTTTCCACACACCGGGACCAGGACCCGCAGTAAGAAATAGGTTTCCCAGCGCAACCCAGTGCACACACATATACACGTATGTACATGCACGTGTCTCATTCTCTATGTGAGTGGTCACAAAATGATAATTACTCGGATTACAAGCAATACACTCAGATCACTACATCTATTTTATGACCCCCAGTCATAAAAAATACTTGAAAAAAAAAAATACTTCCCCTACGGGACATTTCGCCACAGCCATTCCCAGCCACAGGGCCGCAGTCGGCTCCTCCCGTGAGGACATGAAATGACCTCTCACTCCACAGGGGCTGCCAACCCCCGTCACACATGCCCTTTTTTTGTGTTTTTTGTTTTGTTTTGTTTTTTAAAGATTTTACTTATTTATTTGACCCAAGAGAGAAAGAGTGCAAAAGCAAGGAGTGAGGTGGAAGGAGAGGGAGAAGCAGGCTCCCCACTGAGCAGAGAGCCCGATGTGGGGCTCGATCCCAGGACCCTGAGATCTAGACCTGAGCCGAAGGCAGACGCTTAACCGACTGAGCCACCCAAGCCCCCAACCCACGCCCTTTCCTGGGCTGCTTCCCTCTGCTACTGCGGTTGGTTTTTGGAGGGCAGGGATGGGGAGGAAAGGAGAGGCTGGAAGGATGGAAGGAGCAACAGAAAAGAAAGAGCCATCACCGTACCTGGACTCCAAATTCTTCACTTAGGTTGGTGAACAGGTACTCATACCCATAAGCTGCTTTGCAGTTCAGCCACACGACATGGTACGGACTCCGAGTGATCCAGCCTCGAACCAGCTCTACTATTCCACTCAGACACTCCTCCTGGGCAGGAATTTTAAAAGGCATTTAACATTTTTAAGAACATCACTCACCCTTTGCACTCCCAACAATCATGTTATTAATGCAAATTAATTATGGGACGATTATGATCTGACATGTTATTCTAGAAACCTCCTACTAGAAATAGACAGCCACACCCCGGTTACCACGCCCACTTCTCCAGGGAGACTTACTCGACTAGGAATCTGATAAAATTTTGGATCACAGAAAGTAGTATCCAAGTATACACTCTGGATGTCTTTTACTCTAGGGAAAAAAATAACAAAAACACAATAACAATTGGTGTTAACCATCTAATGTTAAATAAAATATACGTAAAGTTTAAATTCTCAGTAATCTTAGAGGGTGTTCTATTGAATTTGGAAATTTTTTGTTAAATCAACTTTTTTTGGGAAATGATTTCCACACAATAAATTACACAGATTTTGTAAAGATGGTTCAGTGAATTTTGACAAATTCACATAACTACTGCCCCCAATCAACATATAGAATGTCACCATCATCCCATTCCAAGAAGAAAATTTTGCTTTACAGTCACGAATATAACAAACTTTGATTTCAACTGAAACAAAGGCTTATATTTGGGAAGAAAGGAGCAGTAAAACTTTTTAGATGATTCAGTCCCCCATTCAAGAATTACATGAAGTCTGGGGCACCTGGGGGTCTCAGTCAGTTAAATACCTGACTTCTGATTTCCGCTCAGGTCATAATCTCAGGGTCATGAGATGGAGCCCCACGTTGGGCTCCGTGCTGGGTGTGGAGTCTGTTTGGAATTCTCTCCTTCTCTCTCCCTCTGCCCTTTCCCCATTTCCTTGCTCATGCACACTCTCTCTCTGAAAGAAAGAAAGAAAGAAAGAAAGAAAGAAAGAAAGAAAGAAAGAA